AGCCCGACATAGTTGTCGGTAGAACCCGTGAAGCCTTCCAACCCGATCCCATGCACAGTGAGTGGACCGCGCAATTTTGGCACCTGCAGGGACACTGCAGGGGTGGTATTTCCCAGACCTCCTGTGTACACTTCAACCTGGACCTTATAAATGCCGAAGCCCGAATATGAGAGAGTCTAGTATAGTATAGCATAGCAAAGTATTATGTAGTAGAGCCGAATATCGTGATATAGTACTCCACTTGCTGACACCCAAACCATACCCTAAGCCCTAACCCCTGGCATTGGGGTCGACCTTGAGACCTGTCCGAGTCTGCTTAAAGCAGAAACCTGGGTTTAGGGTTTAGGGTTTAGGGCTTACAAAAGGGTTGTTTAGGGTTTGGGTTTAGGGTTTAGGGTTTAGGGTCTAGGGGGTTGAGGGTTAGGCAAGGAGCTGGGATATCCTGATGCCCTAAGGCTCAAACCCCATGCTGAGCCCCTCGCGGCCAAGTACCGTGCTCAAATCTGAACAACCCGAAATCCTAATCTAGGGGCCTTAATATAATTTCCCTATATTATCTTGGGGGTTCCTGCACTTCTATTTTGTTCTACATAAAGAGTAAGGCCCCCTACATCACCGTAGAGGCCCGCAAGTTGAAGCCCCGGTCTTCGGACTGTAGCCTTGGGGGCGAAGAGCGCCACGCCGTTTTGAGGACCACCCCTCAAAGGCCCCTCCATCGTCTAGGCAGCAGAATCTCTGAGACGCCACCGCAGGTTCCGCAAGGGGCGAAGGCACACTTTTTCCCAAACCCTGGCCTAAACCATTAACCCTAAAAGAAACATAGACCCAAAACCTAAACCCTAAACCACTGAAGCCTTGAACTGCTGGCGGAGTAGAGATTTGCTGAAGGGCAGCCCCGGTTGCCGCTTCTTCCCCAAGTTTCGGCAGTATCCTGCTGTAGACATGCGCTTCTTCCTGGTACTGCCTAAACCCTAAACCCTTAAAAACAAAAACAAAAAAACCCTAGACCCTAAACCCTAAGCGATGCGAGAGGGAAAAAACCCTAAACCCTAGACCCTAACTAAACCCTAAGAGTTCAGGGTTTGGGGCGAAAGGGGCTCAGGGTGTAGGGTTCCTGGTCCTCGAAGGGTTCAGAGGTGCTCCGGGTTTGCGGGGCAAAGCTACGGAAGACGTGTGGGGGGGGGGGGCTGTGCACAGGGGTCTCGTTTCAATCCCAAGGCTGTTTTGTTCTCTTCAACTTAGTTTCAAGATGGTTCTGCTACAATAACGGCAAGGTATGCATTGCTATTTTACTTTGATGTAGGGCGACAACGCATTTCCAAGGAGTGTAGATGCTGTCGAGCCGTATGTGCGGCCCAAGCTCAAGTATGGCTTGGCGGAGATGATGTTCCATCCACTGTTTCATTCACCCTTTACCCTTGTGCAACAGGCCCCTTAACATCGCTGGACCTAAACCGAAACCCTAAACCGTCGAACTGCTCCCGATCTCTTAAAGTAGCCTGTTGAAGTGAACATGCGCACCGAGACACCTCGGCTAGCGGCGTCCGAGTTGCGAGAGCGCGAACCCAAAAGCCCAAACCCTTAACCCGTAAACCGTCAACCCTAAAACCCTAAAGCCCCAAACTCCTTAAAGCCCCAAACCCTAAACTCTCTAAACCCTAAACCCTAAACCCTTAACCCTTAAATCCTTAACCCCTAAACCCTCAACCCTAAACCCAATCAACGGAGTGCGTTCCGGCGGACGTCACTTGCGCAGCGCATGACCAGCAGGGACTGCCAAAGTCAGTGAGCTGTGAGCAGAAGATCTTCAAGGAAGGGGTCCAGTAGCAAAAGGTGTAGAAAGAAGTTCCGATATACACCAAGGACCCTTGATTGATTTTGTCCCACACCCTCAACAACCTCACACGGGCTTGCAACCAGCAGGCAGCATTCTGCCCATACCTCAGACGCTGAGAAGAGACCTGCGTTGTGTTGGCACCGAGAAGGTAGGTGACAAAACGGTGGCACTTGTGGAGGTATCGGTCGCGAGGTCCTGCCGTGAAAGTTTGGGGCTGTTTCATGTTGTCTTGTTGGTGCGAAGTTCTGGCCACCTACCATTTGTTTAGACTCGCTACATGTTGGCCTGCGACTACTGCCGCCGCGATGTGGCTGTTGGGTGCAAGTTGCTCCTGGCCCTTCTGAGCCTCCGCAAGGGACATCACTACTCGTACCATCACTTCCTCTGTGTCTCTGGACCCTGAGGTTTGAGCTGTGAGGTTTCGTTTTCTTGGTTGCGGGGGTGGGGGTCGGGGGTCTGCTAGATTCATGGCTCAAGGTAGGAGGACTCCCTTCAGTGGGGGGGCGCGGGGTGTCAGGGCCAAGGTGTGCTTTTTCGGGTGTGTTCGAACCCCCGGCTGATGTTTCGCCGCTTCCCTCAAGAGACGCAGATAGTTTAGCTTGCTGGTGGTGTGGCCCCGTCGCTTCCTCAGTGGGGGGGGGGGACGAGCATGGGCTTTGTGCAAGAAGGTGTCAAACCTTGTGAGGCCACATGCTGAAGCTCCATAAATCATGAACCGATGACGACCATCTGGTCGCTGCTGCTGCTGATTATCATGCGGATCAGGCAGAGGCTGGGTGTGATGTTGGACAAAGACGACGAAGAGAGTGACATTAGTGGTGATGCCGATGATGAGGATAAGGGTTTGTGGCGGTTTGGTGGGGGTGGCGGAGGTGGGCCTGGTGAATGTTGTATGTTGGCACCGGCGACACTGGCGGATGACGGCTCTGTTCATGACAATGAGTGAGTGGTGCACAGGTGCACAAAACATCAGTCCCTGCAACACCACCACTGTAGCAAATCCTCCACAGTCTTGACCACAACTCGACCGCCAGCGCCACAGCCGCCGCTAGCCGGCTTCATCATCTGTCTTGCCGATGTTGAAACCCTCAATTCCTTAAAGTCTGAGGATGCGGTCTGTACCGACAGTGCTCCTTTGCTTCAGCGGCCCGCAGATCGTCTCCTCATGGTGGCCAGGCTGTTCTTGGACATGCTTTTCTGTTCGAAGCTACGCTTTTTTTCAGTGGGAACAAGAGCACTTATCACAATTCATCCTGGCAGCTGGTTTCGGTTCCAAAAAGCAGCGATGCTTTGCAGCATTAACCCGCTTCCCGCAACATCAGCCATCACTAGCCTTAAACCTCAGATGTAGTATCGTATTGACAGTATGTTGGCCTCAGCATAACCACTCAGAAGTCACATCATCATACTGTACACCGAAATTCCTCAAGCTCCACGAGTTACTGTACTACACTTCCTAAGCCCGATGGCACACCCTAAAGCCTGAACCATAAAACCGCACTCTCGCACCCCCGTAAGACCCTTGCTTCACGCACTTATGAAACGAAAGCCTACAAAAGCCCTAAGCACCGTGCCAACAACCCAAACTGCAAACCCTGAACCCTATCTCAAAACCCTAAGCCTGAAACCGTAAACTCCCCAAGTCCCCAAGCCCCAAACCCTAAAACCCTTTCAGCACCGAAACGGCCGGCTCAGCGGCCACCAGGACTCCCAGGGCAACCAAGATCCGGAGGAGAGCCTTCGCGATTTGGGAGTCCTGGTGCCCGCTGAGCCGGCCGTTTCGGTGCTAGCAAGGGCCGGCAACTTGCCGGCTGGGAGGCGATCGGCACACTCGCTGGAGCCCTGCCAAAGCCAGATCCCTTGCATCCGAAATTCCAGGCGATGGAGCTCCACATGGGCTCGCTCCTGGGGCTGCCAGCCACTGGACGAGCCTAAGGCGGTGGACGATGCGGCTTCGGCGGCTCGTCGAATGTGGGCGTGCTAGCCATCGGCCTGGCCATTGTGGCGGCAACCGTGCCAGTCGCGCTGGTGTCCTTGTTGGCACCCACAGTATCCGAATCATCCTCCAAAGAGCCAGGCCAAGCAACGGCATCCGTAAGATCTTCGACAGGATCAAAAGAAGAAGACGACCGTTTTAACCAGAAAGAAAATGATGTTGCAGACATAATAAACTCCAAAGACCGCGGTCTTCAGGCCCAGCTGCATCTCAAACTCCTCCTCCTCTGCTGGGATGCTTGGCCTTCGCCCGCTTCTACGGTTAAGACTTAACCGTAGAAGCGGGCGAAGGAAAAGCATCCCAGGAGGAGGAAGAGTTTGAGATGCAGCTCTGCCCAGTCAAGACCGCGGTATTTGCAGTTTATTATGTCTGCAACATCATCTTCTTGCTGGTCCTGACCGGCTGGATTGGGACGGGAAGTGGTTCGGATTTGGCTGGTGGTCGACGTTTCCACGGATGTACTGCGGTGCTTGTTCCGCACGGTGCAGGTGGTGATCATGAAGTGCCAAATCAGTTTGACAGGCCATGAGCGTGTTTCCGGTTCCGGGGCCAAGGGTGGACTTGCTTAAGGACTGTCTTCTTGCTGGCTCAGTGTTTCAGCTCGCGGTCTGCCAACCTGACGACTCGTGGAGGCGCAGAGCAGGCTTTTGGATTGGAGACGCCGCGCTCCTCACCATCTTCCTGGCCGCGCCGGTGTTGTTCTGCTTCGAAACAACCAGCAGGAACCTGCCGTCGGAGTTTTGGCCGGCGTTGGTTGCCTGCCTTCGGAAAGCAGGAGCGTCCGCCTCAAGCGGTGGAGGAACAGTCCATGGGGGTCCTGTTGGAGAAGGCGTATGCAAAGGCCACGGGCTTCATCGTGCCCAAGCTTGTTGCGCAGTGCACTTTGGACTGCTGTGGGCGAGGACTTGCCTTATTCCAGCAGTACTGGGGGATGCTGCTCGTGAACCTCGTCATCACCGGTGGCAAGATCGCCGCGGTGATTGTCTTGAGAGAGTTCATCTTGGGATCGGGAGTTGGGATGTAGTCAATGTAGTCTTTGAAGTGCCGACTTGAGGCCACACGCGCCTCCCCTGCGAACCATGGACAAGCCTCGCCTGAATTCTCCGAGTTGTGAGGGTCTAACACCCTACGGCCCGAAGAGCATACATACAAAACAGCAACGCCCAGGTCCGCGCCGGGCCCCGGGAGGTGTGCTGAAAGCGCCTGGCAGGCAGACGCTTCTGCAGGGCGCAGGCTTACTGCGCCCGCATCTCGCTTGACAAGGTTCTGAATGTTGAAGCTATTACAAAACTTGTACTATAATTATATCTTCCTAAATTCCTAAGTATGTAACCTGTGCAATTGTACTATCCATAATATAGCGTGCTTTCGCTTATGATATGAGTGGTCTTGAGTCCTGGCCTTGTCGTGTCGGATAAAACACCACTTTCCTCTCCGTCTCCACCCAAGTCAGCCCGTATAACCTTACAGTACAGCGTACAGCGTATATGTAGTATCGTATATGTAGCACCCCCATAAACTACCCTATAAAGGAGCCCGTATTTTTGACCCAGAGCCCCAACTCCCAGGCAGTATCGGAGCGCTCTTTCCCGGCTTTCCAGACGGCCGCGGGTGCTGCCACGCTGGCAGCCCTATGGTCGATGTCCCCGCTGACGCTCGGAGGGCTTGGAGTGTTTAAGGGTTAGGGTAAAAAGAGTACTCTGAGGGCTGTAGGAGAGGTTTGTAGTTAGAGTTCCAGGGTTTTTTCGCGGCCTTTCGGGGTTTCGAGTTCAGGTTTCTGAAGTTTTGGGCCTTAAGGGTCGTGGGGTCGTGGGGTTGTTCAGTATCGCTGCTGGAAGGATTGCAGGTAACATCTTCCGAGTCCCCTCCCGAAGGGTTTATAGGATCTTGGTGGCATGCCGAGACTCCGCACTCATAGCTCGAGATGCCTCAAGATGGCTGAGGGTTCAGAGCTTATGTTGGAGGATCCGCTTCTGATGGTTTCGGGTTGGGGTTCAGGGTTTGGCATTCAGAGTCTTGGGGTTTATGGTGCGGCTTAGGGCCGAGAGAGCCCCTAAGTCCAGAGAGACCGGAAGTTGTGAGGTCCTCTGAACCCTGGAGCCCTCCCTGGCGCTAGACAAGCCATCGCACCTGCCTAGGGCCCTAGGGCGTGCTGAGTACGTCTGGAACCCGTGGACTTCGGGGGTGCACAGGTGAGGGCCGAAAGTTTGGGGTGCTGTAATGAGAGTTGGTGTTAATATCGCGGCTCCTGATTATTGGCCAAACTGCTCTCTGACGTACCAGACAGACCTCGCCAGGCTTGTTCAAAGTTGTGAGTGCTGAGGCCCTATAAACACCCATCACCAATCGCTCTCTCTCTCTCTCTCTCTCTCTCTCTCTCTCTCTGCCTCTCCGTCTGCGCCGTGGCATCCTCGAGGCTGAGGGTGGCCTCGCCCGCGTAAGGGCCCTCATCTTACAAGAACCTCCCTCCTGCATGGCGTTGCTCGTTATGCCGCTAGGCTTTGGTGCATGTTCGACCAACGGCACGTATTGCATAACGAGCGGCCTCGAAACCCCTAAGCTGGCCCCAACCACACAGCCCCTTCTTGGAAGAATCAGCCCAAAACGCCTGGGCCAACGCACCAAGGACCCGAGGAAGGCCAAGAGCAGAGCGCCGCCCTCGCGTCGTTTTGTGCGCAGAGGCGGAGGCACATCCGACCAATACAGGAAGAGTAGCGATACCCTTTGGGATTTAGCCTTAGTCGAGGTAGGCCCTAGCTAAAATTATAGGGTCAATTACATGGATCTTGCTATTCTGGGAGATCCCCGCGTTTCTGAGTCAGGTTCTTGCACTGACAAGAAACGCATCTCGAAGCCCGAAGCCCTCAACAGAGAAGATTCCGAGTGTGAGCCCCGAAGGGGCCCTGAACCCTTTGAACCTCCCAAACCCTTACAGAACCCTCCCTAAATCCTGAACCAGAGGCCCTGAATGCCCGAAAACCTAAGCCTCACGCCCTAATCCCTCACTCCTATAAGCCCTCTATTTGGTTTTAAGTGGGAAAACAGGCATTCAGAAACAGCCCTGAACCCTTCAAAAGTCCTAAACACCCTAGCCCCCCCAAGGCCCCCCTTTAGCCTTCAACTGCCCTAAATGCCCTGAAAGCTCCGTAGATAGAGCTCGATTGACAGAGGAGGCTCCGCCGGTGGAGTCGAAGCAAGAGCAGGTCGTCACGCCTTGGGAGGTTCGGGGCGTTTGAAGTGCAAGGGCTCCTGAGCCCTAAACGCTCGAAACCTTCGGGGGCATAGGATTGTTTAGATGGGCTGTTATAAACCACCAGCCATCCTAGACCCGGAGCCCTGAAACATAAAGGGAACCCTTAAGGGTTCTGTCGAATTGTTTGTTGCAAGGCTTCGGTCTCACGCGGCTGCTGCACGTGGAATGTTGGGATGTCGGGGTGTTGAGTTTAAGTCTAAGTTCAGTGTTCAGGTGTTTTGGATGCATGCACACGTCTGTGCACAATAACGTGCCCAAAAGCCTAAACTCCTAAACTTATAGATGTGAGTTTAGGATACGTGGGGCAACCTTCGGGTTACCCTAGACTTATACACCCTGCTGTAAACACCTGGGGTGGCCCAACGCAGAATCCTTCGCAAGCGATCTCCTATGCCTGGCTGAATGACTACTGATGCTATGCCTTACAGGGTTGCTTGACTTGCGACACTAGTCATCAGGACTCCAGAAGAGGCATGGGGGATACAGCACGAACCCTGAACCCTGGACCTTGAAACGTGCAGTTGCAAAACTGGTTTTTGGAGAGACCCTATACATACATATAGTTTCAAATCGTCTTTTTTAAATGCCAAGCCACTCCTGCAGGTAGAGGCAGGCGAGGATGGAGTGGATTACGACAAACTCATTGAGACCTTCGGTTGCCAGCCGATTACTGCGGAACAGATTGAAAGAGTAGAACGCCTCACGGGCAACTCGGCTTCACTGACGCCGCTGCTGCAGTGCCTTTTTCTTGTTTGGAAGTTGATGTCTCGGTTTCCTCTTGTGCCCGTAGAAAGTTGTACTGATGCTGTTACGGTCTTTTTGTTGGAACGGCCTTTAGTCTTCGTTCCCGCCTGCGTCTATCTCTCGGGTATCCAATGCTGAAGTCCTTCGCCGCGCGCAATACCGCGCAGCCACAGATTTGCCATTGCAACGCCAACTTCGTTTTGGAACAGTCCCGCGATGCCATGCACCAAACTGCCCTCATCCCTGGAACGATGCAGCTTGCAAGCCTGCAACCGACAGATTTATTGGAAGAGTTGGGAGACTGAGACGTGACGTGAGTGGATCAGTGAAATTAGGAATAAGCCTCTTGAAGTTTTGGGACGGTAACCTGGAAGTAGCCAGACTTGTATGTGACCCGGTTGTCTGGCGTCGTTCGGTGCGCCGATCCTTGCTTGTCCACGCGCCGCCTGGTGTAGGACCCGGCCGGCCGAGCGACCTTTAGTAGCTGCAAGATGCCATACATTTACATAGGGCTTCGAGAATTCAGGCATGGGGCTTCAGGCGTCAAGTTTAGAAGCTCGTAGCTCCCATGCTTTAAAATGGCCTGCAGTCCCCTGTGAGCTCGAGGTCGTTGACGGGTTAAGCATCTACTCAGGGGCCAACATTCTCTCAAATGGACTTGCGCAGGGTTGCTGTCAAGTAGCTTCCTGTTCTGATCACGTTGGGTTTGGGTCGCGTAACCCGTAGCGACTTGCCCGACGATGATTGGATCCATATGATACCACACCAGCTAGCTGCATTACTCAAGAAAGGGGGTCAACGGCAAGGCAAGCGCGCCCACAGATTTCTCCGACGCGGCCTCTTCTTCTCCCACCGGGATTTGGACAGCCTCCTTGATGCCTATGAGACTTGGGTTCAAATCAGAGACACAAACCCCTTCACACTCCTAAACCCTTCAAAGTCTAGATCCCCAATTAAGGCGCCGCTAAACCCTTGGCCTCCTAAAGCCCTTCACTCCTAAACTCCTGCAGCCGATACCCCATTTTCCCTCGGACTTCTAAACCCCGAACTCCTCAACCCACAAACCCTGGGACCCCTTAAGCCCGAAGCCCCTTGTAGTACTACAACCTGAACTTCTTAAATCCTACAGAAACCCAAAAAGCCCCTCGTAGCCTTAGTTGCATCGGCACGGACGTTCTGACGTAACGTTCGTACGTACTGAAATCGTGCGTTCTTAGACCGTACGTTCTGAAAGGCATGA